TTCGGCCATATTCTTAATGGCTTGCCTCACCCCGTCTCCACTGTGGCGGTTTTCCTCCCTTTCTAGCTGTCCGGAGGCTTCCGGAGCCAACCGCGGCATTGATCCAGCCAGGGTCGGGTGTTTCCCCGAGGCCTTGGAGACACCTGCCCGTTCCTATCTCTGGCTCGCTGCTGAAACAGCGTCTCTCAGTTCTTCCCCTCTCCCCGATACCTCTGGCGGGCTTGCCTTGCGGCTCCTTTTTCCCAGAGGTTCCTTCAAACGGGGCTCTCTTTGAGTGCTTTGAGTTCATTTTCTCTGAACTCAGCCCCTCTCACTGTTTTTGACAGCCCTGCCTGAAGCGAGAGGAGGCGTGGCCTAACCAGTCTGGATGCCTTCCCCCAATGAAGGAGAATAGAAATTCTGGGGGGGGGGGGAAATCCTGTGCTAAGCTTATCACACCCTGATACTTATCTGAGTGCCTGCACGAAGGGAAAACCCCTTCTTGATTGTAACCTAGTTAAGGATTCTCACAAGTCCTATTCACACCTGTTTGTGTGAGTTGTGGCTATGTCAAACACCACATGTCACCATAAGAACCAGCCCATCCAATCTTTTAAATTACTACAAAAAAAAAAAAACACATGGAGAGATTGTCTTTGTGTACCTACCACATTGTTTGACTTCCAGCTTAGACAGTGATTTCCTCATCAGGATCATCTCATTCTTCAGCACTGAGAAAGCCTGGAGTTGTTTCCTTTCAGCCACTACTTCCATGTTCCCATGAAGCTCAAGTCTCCAGTGTAAAGGCAAGGGTTTTGCTTTGGAATGCAACTGCTTGTGGTGATGTAGATGGATTTGGTTTCTTCTGACTGAGTTCAATTCAATTCAATTACCTTTATTGGCATTGACATTAAAAAGAGTAATATACAAAAGATAAGGTAAAGAATGAATACCAAAGAGAAAAAAAGTTCTAAGATATTCTAAAATCAATGTAAAATAAGTCTCAGTTGTATATCTCCTGAATACAAGTTTTGTATTACAATACTGTACTATGAATAAAAAGAGCAGCCTGCAAGAACTCTGCCACAGAAACGGTTATATTTTCATCATCGCTTTTTAGCAAATAAAGCAATTTGTGAGAGTCAGGAAGCTCTGTGATACCACCAAGTAGGGTTGATAAAATGTGGTGTCCAATATTGGCATAGTAATGGCACTCCAATAACACCTGAGACACCATTTCAACTGACCCTATGCACAGGGGCATAGTCTATTAACAAAAGGGATACTATTAAACCTCCCAGTTAAGATCACTGAAGGGAGAGCATTGAACCTGGCAAGTGAAAAGGTTCTATGTAACTCTGGAGTCTGAAGTTGGTGAAAACAGCTAGCAGGATGACCCACAGTGGGCACTATCCCATGACTTAGAGGGGAGCATGCCTTATTAGCTGCGTTGTACAGTTCAAATAGCTCTGCCTCAAACAGTCTGTCCCTTATTGTTTGCATTGCCTCCAATTCAGAGAGTAAGAGTAAGGATTCGAAAGGGATATTCAGTGTTTGTAATTTATTTTCAATAATAACCAACCAAGGGGAGTAGTTAGATTCAGTCAAAAGTTGGAAGCAGTAACTAGAGGGATCAGATCTATAATGTAATCAAAGCCAAAACTTAAAGGTCATTAAGCATGCCCTTATAGTCATAAGGTTTTGGCCACATTCTAGGCATAAAGTGTCAACTATGCTGCCATGGGGGTGGGGAGGTTGGTTGTATTCTAATTGCCAGTGCATTCCCTCTGTGCTTCTTTGCTGCTGCAACGATTATCTATAAGTTCTGCAGGTGGTGATGTCGATGTCTGGATTTCTCGGGGACCGTGGGAGAGAGTTTGGTTCCCAGCTTCAGCGCTAAATGGCCGGTGCTCTTTCTCCCGTGCGCGGGAGGGTACCTAATTGGCCCGGGCAGTGAGGGGGTGCACACGAATACCCTATATCCTATTATGCCCCTGGGCAGCTGTCATTCTTAACAGAGCCTATGTTACTGCATCTATAGCTCTTCAATAAAGTATTACCTTCCCTGAAAAGCGTGTACTACGTTGTTGGCTGTGGGTTCTGACATTCTGTTAAGAATCCTTCATTCTCTATCTACGCGCCTCTCTCCCCAACCGAGATAAGCGTTTCTGCAAACGGGAACGAAGCCGGTCTGATGAAACCCCGAACCAAGTTCTTGTCGATTAACTTGCGCAGTTCATCTTTCTCAGCCGGCCACATTGAATAAATGCGCCCCTTGGGTAGTTTCTGACCACGCAAGAGTTCAATACTACAGTCCGAGTGTCTATGAGGTGGGAGCTCATCCGCTTCTTCCTCCTTGAACACCCTGGCCAAGACCCAATACTCGGGTGGGATAGACAGCAGTTCATCCTGAGCTATGCTTAGGTCCCAGGAAATGCACTATAAACACTGGGCATGTTTGTCACTGAAAAGTATTCTTGTAAACTGGACACAACAACTGGATCAGGCCCCTAAAACGAAACAGTCAAATGTTTTGTCCGCATTCCCATCCCGACCTTCTTTTCCTGGTTCTCCATTTTCATAGAATCATAGAGTTGGACGGGATCTCCAGGATCATCTAGTCCAACCCCCTGCACAATGCAGGAAATTCACAAATACCTCTCCCACACACACACACACACACCCAGTGACTGCTGTTCCACACCCAGAAGATGACAAAAAATTTCCAGGATCTCCAGCCAAACTGGCCTGGAGAAAAAATTGCTTCCTGACCCCAAAGTGGCAATCAGCATTCCCCTGGGCATGTAAGAAAGGGCCACAAGAACTAAGCACTGATGCAACCCCACCTGCCCTCCCTCTCACGATCTGCCTAAATTCACAGAACCCACATTGCTGTCAGATGGCCATTTGGCCCTGTTTAAAAACCTCCAAACAAGGAGAACCCACCACTTCCTGAGGAAGCCTGTTCCACTGAGGAACCACTCTGTCAGGAAGTTCACAATGTTAAGAACTGAGGATCAGGTTTAGCAGGAGAGATCGGTCAGTAGTTTGAAACTGCCAGTCTAGCCAAATAGAAAAGGAATATTGCTTCTAGGAAACGGAGAAAATTTCCTACTGAGTTATGTAGTGGGTTCACCTCTGAAAGGATCCCTGGTTTATAAAAAAGAAAACTGTCTTAGACACCTCCAGAGTCAAAAGGAACACTATAATCGCACAGGGAGGGAAATAAGTACAGGAAGAAAGTGTTTGCCTCCAGGAAACTTAAGTTAGTTAAATGAATCTAGATGAAGACACATAGTTGCTGCAAAGAAATCTCTAAGACAAATATCTCACTGTTAAGAACCGAGCATTTATGAAAATAAGCATCAACAATACTCTGTAGTCTGTTAAAAATATTATAACCTGTAAATACAATGAAATTTACCCGAGCTTTCTCATCCCCTGCCTATCCCTAACCCAGCCATGCCTGTTATTTCAGATTGAACTTTACAACATCTCAAGTGCCATTTTCAGTAAAGGGATTAAGATGAAGAAGAGATTGGATTTATACTTGGGAGTCTCAGAGCAGTTTACAATCTCCTTTCCCTTCCTCTCCCCACAACAGACACCCTGTGAGATAGGTGGGGCTGAGAGAGCTCTTTCGAAGACTACTCTTGAGAGAAGAGCTCTGAGAGAACTTGTGACTGACCCAAGGTCACACCAGCAGCTGCATGTGAAGGAGAGGGGAATCAAACCTGGTTCTCCCAGATTAGAGTCTGTGCTCTTAACCACTACAACAAACTGGCTCCTGCGTTTCCACAGCAAGTCTTTTATAAACCACATTCATTTACATGCTACTAAAGGCTGCTCAGTCACAGCAGAAAACTAAACATTTTGGTGGGAAAATCTGCCTCACAGTAAAACAAGCAGCAGGTGTCCGTCATACCCACCATTACCAATCCCCCCCTGCAGGGTGCATGCACCAGGGAATAATAGGTGTTTCCTAGCTCTCACACAGCAGTGTTGAGGATTTAATAGGCTTGCAACCAGTCAGATCCCTGGCAGACCAGCTGAAAGAGTTCTCCAATAAATAAAGCGGGGAAGCCACTGTGGTGAGAGACAGTGACTTGCCCAAAGCTAGCCAGTAAACTTTGTGGCTTATATCCAGTCAGCCCATCAGTCCTCCTTAACCCAGAAGTGTCCGCTTGGGCAGCACTGCTACCCAAACCTGGAGATGCCAGGGCCCGTTCCTCTGATATTCTGTGTGAAGAGCAAGTGATCTACCAATGAGCAATGCCAAGTGGGGATTTGGACACAAGTAGCCCTAGGCTCAAGTCCAGCATATACCCAACCACACTGCATGTGTCCATGTGGTAGCATAATACTTCCCAAATACAAGGATGGCTCTCCATTAATCCTTTTCAGGACAACAATAGGGCTTTACTGCATATTGGTACTTTTTCATCCTCGGGACAAGACCAAACACGAGACAATTTTCTCTGTTCCATGCATCCTTTATTCCATTACAACCACTGTTGCATTCTGCCAACAGATACACAAACCATAATCAATCGCAATCCACCTTTTTACATCAGAGGCATACAGTACATTTAAAACTGTCAGATTTGGGGGGGAGGGAATCTTGCGGCCCCTTAGTGTAACGATTTTTAATATCTTGCATATTCTGTGCGATTCCAGTGTCAGAATAAAATTTTCCTGAACAAACAAAAAAACCCCCAACAGGATCAGTTTCAATTACAGTTTTACATAAATTCATCAAAAACAAATGTGTAATTTTTTTTTAATTATCCTGGAAACCTTATAAAATTTTTGATAGCAAAATAATGCAGGAAATAAAAACTCATTGTAACAAAACGTATTCAATCATATACAAACCAGAATGTATTGGTAACTAGACTGAAATTTAAACTATCAAGAGTTTTATGCATAATGTAAATTCATTTATGTACAATAGTTTTAAAAACCTCTATAAGGACTGCTTTACACAAGGAAATGCCTATTATGGCAGTTATTCAGGCTGCAAATATTATCTGAATAACAGATTTAGTAAATTTACACATTTAATTTTTTATGTATAAAGAATTATAGGATTTAGCCATTTTACTCATTTTTAAAAGAAAATTTAAGTTTGCAAATATTCAGAAAACTGATGTGAGGCTTGTTTCAGAACCAGATCCATTTAGAAAGGAGGCACGTTCCCTAGGAAGTCAGTTGTCATTTACTTGGGAAGGTCAGTAAGATAGTGGGGGAAATCACAAGAAAACATCACCACAAAAAAACCCCTTTCCAGTTACAATAGCACAGCCAAAAACTTTACATGAAGAATGTTCTTCGACTGTAGCCCCAGACTGTTCCCTTTCAAAAGAGTGGGAAGATTTTAAAGAAAAAAGTTACAGGAATTAAATGACTTGAAGCTGGGGGGAGAGAAGAGAAACTATGTGAATTGCACTAGATTTAGTATCCTCCTATTCTAGTAGCTTCCCCTCCACCAATCCAACTCTTCTGGGTAATGAAGGTTAAAAAAAAATATTGGGGATTACAGTAGTGACTGTCAGAATAGCTTTCTGTTATAAAAAAGTCAGACTTGATTGGATTCACCCTCGTGATAGGGCATTTCTTCATAGTATAAAGCTACTACAGCTAATCCAGTTAATGTATGTGCAAAAAACAGGTTAAGTTCTTCCATTCACAGTTAACTGAGGTAAAAAAAAAAACAAGAGAAATGAAAAAGGAAAAAAGAAAGACCAAGTAGGATTCTTCAAGAGTTGGGGAGTTCATGAGATATGAACTGTTTTAGTCGCTCTAGATACTGTGCGTAAAGCTCTATGTCATTGTGGCCAGCTCCTTCAACCCAGAGAGGTTCTACCGCCCGGGGACATCGCTCGTACATTGCCAGGCCATGTGAGAAATCTATTACTTCATCTTCGGTACCATGAATCACCAACACAGGAGAGGTTACTTTAGAAATCTTGTCAATGCTGAGGATGTGAACAAACAACAAAGATGTTAGTTTTGTCATTAAATATACTGGAGGTTTTTCAAAGTATTGGGTAGATCCTGACATATGCACTTGAAATGATCAGCAATAATAAACAAGATTCCTAAACAGGACATTATCCAACTGTCACTGACAACGAACAGCCACAGAACAGGAATTGTTGCATTCTATGATGCCACTCAGGGAAAACAAAAAGATGAGGTGGCACCACATACTTGGCCAGTTCCCTGTGCCATGTGACGTGTCAAAATGGGGACAGAACTGGGATTGGGACGAAACTGAGCCCTTCGGCTGCCAACCCCTACTGTATTCTCAGCCTCTTGTGCAAGTCAGTGCTGGGATCCAGCAGGACAAAGACTGAACAACCTCTCCTGGAAGGTGTTCTATATAGGGATGTACAAAAAAATATATCTTTTCCCCCTTAATTCAGGTCTACTGGACCCAAAAAATAACGGTATTCCTGAATATTCCCAAATACCAATATTGGTTTTGGATTCAGGTAAATATGTGGGAAACCCGAATTTATTTGGTTGCATTATACCCTATGGGAACCATCCCTATAGGGCAGTGATGGCAAACCTTTTAGAGACCGAGTACCCAAACTGCGACCCAAAACCCACTTATTGATTGCAAAGTGCCAACACGGCAATGTAACCTGAATACTGAGGTTTTACTTTAGAAAAAACAACTCATACATTAACTTAAGATGATCCAAACAAAGTAAGGAAAGCAATCCCAAATGCTTTAATTTACTTAAAATTATTTGGCAGAGAATTCGACACTTTAATGATGGTCTGGGCCTGGCTGGGGCGATGGCACGTGTGCCCACAGAGAGGGCTCTGAGTGCCACCTCTGGCACCCGTGCCATAGGTTCACCACCACTGCTATAGGGTATAATGAAGAAGGGATTTAAACTTTAAATGCTTGCTGAGTTCACTCACTGAGTCCTGCTGCTGAACTCAGAAGGCATTTAAGGAGACTGTGGTCTCTTTAAATACCTTCTAGCCGCACCTGAATTCAGGTGTGGTTATTTCGGTAGCCAATAAGGTATTTTTTGAGTATTTATTCAGCTGAATGCAGCTGTATTTGGCTACCGAAATAGCCACACCTGAATTCAGGTGCGGCTAGAAGGCATTAAAAGAGACAGCAGTCTCTTTAAATGCCTTCTGAGTTCAGCAGCAGGACTCAGTGAGTGAACTCAGCAAGGTAGAGGATCTTCGCACTGCCCCAGCCTAAAATAATTATCTTTAGGGATACATTAAGATTGGGCCAATAGTATGGATGGTGGTTAGGTGTCCCTTGTTTCAAGCTGCCCAACTGGAAGTCCTCTTTCAGGTATGTCCGATTACAGAGGCAGTGACCGTGGAAAGGACTTCTCCACAGTGGTGTCATGACTTTGGAACACCTCTCCCACAGCTACTTGGTGTTTATATTGTGACTTAGACTCCAGCTGGGTAAATTTCAGACCAAAGGCATGAGAAAATAATTTTCTCATGACCTTGGTTCAAAATTCTACCTAAAAGCCTGGTTTTGCTCTACCAGACTGTGCACCTAAGTGCTGTTAGACAGGTTACAGATTGTTTTATTTGTAAGTCCCTTTGAACATGAATGTTGAAAAGCAGGATATAAATATTAAAAGGCAAATACAATTTAATGACTGCAGTCCACATCTCACAAAATGTGCCCTATTCCCAATTAGCACAATACTCACACTAACCTATCTATTTATAGGTCTTTTATAGAAAGCCTGGGCAGTCAGTCTGCTGGCAGGGAGCTGTGGGGAAGCCTCTCCACTGTAGCTCTTGCATACTAAGTGCCATTTGTTCCCACTCAGGCATTTCAGTATTTGTAGCTTGCAGAAATATTTTGGAAGGCATTCCATTGCCAGCTCAGCCACTTTGCCTTGTGAGGAGACAAGGCTTGAAAAGCACATGAACCTTACTTGGTATTCCTGGCCACACTGCTCTGCAGCTAGAAAAACCTACAGTGGCTACATGCTGATGGAATCCCAACATCAGCAAGCACAAAAGATTGCCGTGTCACCTGTGGTGAACCATTTTCTCTCCCACAAGGAGAGAAATCTGTGCAGGGACATTTGTGCAAGTATCAAAAAGGGCTCCATTTCCCTGCTTAGAATACAAAGTGAATTTGTGTGATCGGCAAGCAGCAGCAGCTCTGGAGAAAGCAGACGGCATAGAGGCATTAAACTACCTCTGTTCTACTGGTCCCTGCCCAGGTAGCTTTCATCCATGTTTTGATTTAGGCTATTTTAACAACTGGTGCTAACAACTGGTGAATAAATAGGGGGAGGAGCAAGGGACCAAATACACTCAAAAACTTTGTTGTTCAAAGCACTGGTAATTTTCTTCAGAGGGCTGGGGGTGGGAAAATGACTGTGACAGCAGCACTTCATCAGCTTCTATTTTGCTTCCTGCCGGAAACCCCCTTTAAGAATGACTTAGAATTCCTGTAACTAAAGAACATGGATGCTCATTTCAGCAGGTATTTTACAACCAGACAATTCAAATACTGGGGCCAAGAAATCTTTTGCAACTATGTGATGTCACCTCCTAACTTTAAGTGATATTGGAAAATATCCTATACTCTCTAATAATAAAGTATAAGCAAATGAGTTCTCAGTTAATTGGGTTTATTTCGTGAGAAAAAACAGGCATTTTGGAACCAATTACCTCTCATAAAGGAGGAAGCACATGAACAACTATCAGTCCGAAGCTGATTGTGCTCACATTAGTGTTCAAAGAGTCAAAATATTTTAAGCAGAGGTTTCTAAATATCTTGTTGCCCCCTGCCCAGAATTTACCCAACTGCCACTCTCCAACCCTACTCTATCACCACTCCCCCAATCAAAGGGAAAAGAAAAGTAGTTGATCATCCTGGACAGCAATCTCATTATGCTGCATCTGTTTTTAAGTATTAAGTAATGCTACTATCAATAATTTAACAAATAATTTTTTAAAACATGCATTCAAATTCTTTGTGAAATTAGTTCCAGTAAAGAATCTTTCTGCTAGATACATACTACAAGTGGCTTTTGGTATGTTACCAAAGCCCGTTAAGAGATTTTTCCCAGTCTACTCTACTCTACTGTATCAACATTCACACTCTTCATTGCAAACATCAAGAAGTGTTAACATCTAATTTTCTGTGCGGCCCAAATCTACAAGTTTTACGCAAAGAGCAGAAACTAACACTTATCCAATAGCCACCACTTTAAGAATCCCTGCTTGTCACCCACTGGCTCCATGCATACAGCAAGCCGATGATCACTGCGCTTCCAAAGTTGTGGGCAAGACTAAATAGACTGAGAGAGGGAGAATAGGGGCTTCAAAGTAGCAGCAACAGGCTCAGTTGTTGTCTATTTTCCATTTTAATAATCAAATCCGCATAGCTTGCAACTCCTGAGAGTTTTTAGCCAAAGGTGAAGAAACAAGATTCCATTTTGGTGAGGCTTTTTTAAAAAAAAGCTTTTGTAATATTGGATATTATCCAATTATTTCCTCATTATTTTTAAGACAATATTTTTCCTACTGTTTAATGGCTGTAGTCATATATTCGGCAGTATTTTAAAAGGATATCTCTTTTTTTAAAAAACAAAACCATACTACACAGGGAACACTGAAGCTCTTCGATTTATAGAGCTCACCATCATATCCAGACACAACAATATACGAGTTCAGGCCCGTAGCTACAGTGGGGCATCTCGGGGCTGCCCCCCCCGACTTACCGCCCAGGCCTCCCAACTTCCCATCCAGGTGGTTCAATATTTTTTTCCCCATGCCTCAGCTGCGCTGGACCATCACCCTGCCTTGCCCTTCCTGGCCAGCCCCACTCTCCATTCCCATGAAGCCTCTTGCCTCTCTCTCTCTTTTTCTTTTATTTGGTGTGGCGCCAAGCCATCACCCTGCCCTGTCTGAAATAATCCTCACCTCTCTCACTTTCTCTCGTTGCTCTGCTTGCTGGAACCCAGTAGGCTGCAGTGCAGTGTACTCACTGGGGGTTGGGACGGTGGTGGGGGGACGGGGTTGGGGCAGGGAAGGTACCAGCAAAAGTACTGTTTTCATTGGGGGGGCGGGGGAAATAAGAAAATAAGAACGTTTGGGGGGAGCAATCCTAAGTAGGTCTACTCAGAAGTAAGTCCCATTTTATTCATTTTACTCCTGGGAAAATGCTCTTAAGACACGAGTGCCCTCTGACTTATTTAAATGCCCCCAGAAGAAGAAAAAATCCTGGCTACGCCCATGTATGAGTTCAAGCTAAATGGCATATGGAACACCAACACTGCATTTGAAGCTGTCTTATATCACAAACCAGACCACTGGCACATCCAGCTGTCTGCTAATCTTCTCTGATTAGAAGTGGCTTTCCAAGGTCTCACACGCAGAAAGGTTCTTCCAAGCTCCCACTACCTGAAATTCCTTTTATTAGAGGCAGCAGAGACTCGGGACTTTTTGCGTGCAAAGTATGTCCCACTTAGCTACGGACCCTCCCTTTAAAAGTTACCACCATACTTTGGGATTATATTTAAAGGAGGAAGATACCTAAGCAGAGAGAATGATAACAGTGTCACTAGTTGGTTTTTTAGTCCGATCTATGCACACACAAAGCCACCAATGTGGCTTGGGTGAATAAGCATACTCACAGTCTGCTTTAAAAAAAAAAGAGAGAGAGAGATACAGATCTAAATGCACCATAATTCTCTTTGAGCATATTCTACACATACCTGGGGAAAGCATCAAAGCAGTATGTTTTCCTAGTGTCTGGAAAAGCTACCCGTAAGCCAGACATCAACGGCGAATGAAGGATCACAGCTGCACACTCGTAGCGGGATGCCAGGTCCACAGTGGGAACCGTCCCAATACTCTGTCCATATAGAATTATATTCTCAGGACTAACACCATATCTGCAAAATAATGGAGGAAGAAAATAACATTGTTACTTTAAAAAGAAAATCACACTTCAGCAAGAGATGGACACAGAATTTATTCTCTAAAATTGATTGTGGATGTTTACAGTTATCAATGCATTTTGCAAGCAAGAGTTGTCAATTTCACTGATCTTTTAAGTGTTCTGTACTCCAGCTATCTCCCCACAGCTCTGCATAAGAACCCATACAACTTTGCAGCCTGCTTAAACAGGAGTGGAAGACTCTAGTTTTTGCCTTCCAAGTTCCAACATGACCTGCCATTGTGACTTTTGCATCCACTTTAGGACTCGGAGCACCTCATTGCCTCAACTCATTGCCTCAGCATGTTTAACATACAACCACATTCCTAGCAATGCATTTAAAGGTACGCATAAGAGCCCTGACCTGGATTAGCCCAGGCTATCCCAATCTTGTCAGATCTCAGAAACTAAGCAGGGTCAACCCTGGCTAGTATTTGGATGGGAGAACTCCAAGGAATGAATGGAGGCAGATAATGGCAAACATCCACTGGATGTTTCTTTGCCTTGAAAATCCTACTGCGTCACCTAAAGTCAGCTGTGACTTGACAGCAGAAAAAAAAGTCCACCTGCTGTCCATAGCTTTCTGGTCTCTGACAAGTACAGAGGTTACATGTAGCTTGTCGCCATAGTGGCTGGAACCGAAAACCCCTGCATGTTGGCAGAGACAACCTTCTGGACAAAGTTCCAGAAATGCCTTCACCAAAACATCCAGGATTGAGCTCTGTCCCAATCTTCAGCATTTTTTTTCTGATGAGTTCCACTGGAAGTTAGTGCTGCTGTTACTGATTGGGAAAGACAATACAGGAATTAGGAGTGAAAATCCATTTATTTATTGCACAGAGCTCCAGAGATATCGTAACCTCTACCACCACCATATAGGGATTGAGTTCTACTGCTCAGGTTATAAAGTTTGAATCCAGTGGCACCTTTAAGACCAACCAAGTACCCAGAATTAAACTTTGTTGGTCTTAAAGGTGTCACAGGGCTCAAACTTTGTTCTGTTGCTTCAGACCAACACAGCTATCTACCTGAATCTATGCTCAGATTTATATTACATTACTTTTTAATTATTTAGATTTCAAGTCCTTTGGGGACAGCATACCATACGCCACCCTGAACCCATGGGATGAAGCAGGATATAAATCCAATAAAGAGTACATTAACAGAGGGATGGGCAAAGAGGGGAGGCCAAGAAAGCTTAAGAGAAGGTAGAAGAGGCTGCGAGTGAGCCACATGAGCACAAGGTGATGTAAGATATTGGGAACAGTTTGCAGTAAACACAGGTGTATGCAGAGTCAGTACTACTTGATGACTTGCATTAAGAAATGAATTCTGTATTTTTGAAAACAGCCTTTCTGGCATGCAAATACCAGGAACTCTTTGCTACTACACTAGGTAGTTTTGGGCAAGCAACTATTCTTGCTACAGATATCCTGCTTTTAAAATGGAATAGCCAGTCATTTTGGAAGGTTCTGATCATGATACCATTTGTAACACACTGCACTTCATCATATACATATGGGAGCAGAAGGTGCCATCAAGTTGCAGTTGACTTATGGCAACCTCATAGAGTTTTTATGGTGAGAGATGAACAGAGGTGGTTTGTCTGCCTCTGTCTAGCAATCTTTGTCTTTCTTGGTGGTCTCCCATCTAAGTACTGACCAGGGGTGACCCTGCTTAGCTTCTGAGATACGACAAGATCAAGCCAGCCTGGGCCATCCATGTCAGGGTTTGTCATACCCAGTCTTGACTGGACAGGTTGACAGTTAATCAATAATACAGGGGATGGGGTGGGGGAGCAATTGATTTTCCAAGTGTTCTATAACACTGTAAAAGGAAATTTTAAAATACTTTTCCAACAGAAGTATATGAACCACAGAATCATCATCAAGCAGATCATTTCTGTCTTTGCCAGCTTCCAGGTGGTCTGCCTTAGAGAGCATGCTGCAGTTTCAAGGCAAGTTGAAAAGCAGCTCCTAAAAATATCCTCCCATGAATGAAGAGAGGTTTTGTCTCCAAGGACAGCCATGTGACTAAATGGAATGTCCAGGTTTAAGTTTATGGGTACACAACCAAGTTGCTCCTGCAAAGATAATCCCTTTAAGAGAGTCCCAAAAACAACAGGATAGAGCAAAAATTGGAAGGGGAGGGGGAAGACAAGAGGAGGAAAAAACACAACAGAAAGATTCAAAGCTTGAAGTGTAAGCTGGAGTAACCTAATATACATGTTCACAAAAGGTAAGCATGTGCTTTCCTTCACTAAAATAATGCATTTAAACAGACTAGCCAGAGAGGGGGAAATGCTGAGTCCCTGTTACGCTCCAAACAAGAAGTATTAAAACTATACTTCTTTTCTGCCCGTGAACACATTTAAAGATCTCCATTTCCTAGAAGCCACATCTCTGAAGACCCAGACATCTCTCCATGTGCCAAGCATGATCTTTTGGTTGCCACCTTCTGGTGGTTTGCCCACTTGACATCTACCAGAGGCCATTTATTTCCTGTAGTGACTCTCTCACATAGAAAGGGCTCCATGAGGAAATGGGGAGGAGGCATGCCATCTTTAGATGTTTTAGGAGGTGCTGTAAGGCCATTTTAGCAGCAAGGGCTTTTAACAGGAGTTTAGCTGCTGGTATTTTCTTGGGGTAGGGAGGGGAGAACAGGGTTTTACTACTGAATTTTGTATCCCCCCCAAAAATTTTTTAGTAAACATTTGCTACATATAAAAAGTATACATAATAGTAAATCACAAAAATCTGTGAAATTAAGAACGCTCACATTTTGCTGCAAGTTCCATTTTCTGCACAACCCTCAACCATCTATATATCTAATTCTCAAGTCGCCCCCTGGTGTGCGGATACTTAAATCCGCACATCGGGGGGACCTGGGGGGGGAGGGAGAGGTTTATGCACACGTGGGGCGGTCCCCACGTATGCACAAAAATCCTAAATCTGGAAAAAAACATCGGGGGCATGTTTAAATCCCCCTGAAATTCACAGAGCGTCCCCTGCGCATGCGCAGGGAACGCTCTGCGACCGCCGCCGCCGCTTGGAAGGTGAGCGGGGGGTGGAAGGCCAGAGGGGGGAGAACGAGCCGGGGGGGCGGGGGAGGAACCGGCAGGATGGGGGGGACTTTGGAGCTCCGTTCGGAGCTCTGCCTCCCTCCCCACCCACGAGTATCGCGGGCCCACCCGTAGTAACACATCTAATTTGGAATTATCTGTATTTTGTTGGTGGCTTCTTACTTTCATCAGCCAACCATTACTTTGGGGTCTTTTTATTTTATTTCAGCAAACACAAATCTGGCTGTGGTAGAGCTACTGGTTGAAGATTTTTAGACATGTCAACTACACATCTTTATGATAAGATCTGTAGCCTATACAGAATCTGTCTCTTTAATCCAAGTGATATATTTCTACCATTTGTTTCCAGAATATTGTATATTTTTAATATCTGGAATTGGAACTGCCCTGAGCCACAAGGAAATGGTGGGGTATAAAATATTTTAATTAATATATAAATTTTAATCACGGGCTTAACACTTTAGACAGAATAATCACACTTTTCAGATTGAGCTGTCTTTCACAAATCAGCTGACTGTTATTCAGCATAATCAAATGCAAAGAAAGCAAAAAACATACACACATCAATATCCACAAGTACAACCATGCTGAAGAGCCCAACCCTAAAAGTATTCCTGGAAATAAATAGCATTACGTTCAATAGGACTCTGTTTCTTTGTATAAATGTTCCAGCTTCCAGCCATAAACAATGTGTTTTCCACACATCTTCTGAAGCATCTGCAGAAGTATCAGGCACACCCTTTAGATGTGCTTCAGCTTGAAGCCCTCAGCCAATGCTCTTTGTCAAGGAAGTCATTGTGATCATGAGGTCATAGACCTTCAAGACTCTTTGTTGGTCCACATCCAATAGACTGAAAAACACCAATTACTTTTGAGTAAGCCTTTAGTCACATCCTCCTTTTTGGAAAACAATACTTGTGCATCTATGCCCTAATTGGCAACTAGTTTTTACTAGAGGGCAACACTGAAGAGGGGACTGATGAACCAAAGCCCTTTCTCACACCAATAGGAGGGGCTACAGTTCAGTGGTAGAGCATCTGCTTGGCATGCGGAAGGTCCCAGGTTCAATCCCTGGCATCTCCAGTTAAGAATCAGGTAGTAGGAGATGGGAAAGACCTCAACCTGAGATCCTGGTGAGCCGCTGCCAGTCTGAGTAGAAAATATTGACTTTGATGGTTTCTTTATAAGGCATTTTCATGTGTTCCCAATGCTTCTCAGTTGTTAATCCCTACTGTGTGTTTTCAAGTAGCCATGTCACTTGAGCCAACAGAAATAACATGGTAGAAGGTTGCTGGGACTTTTTGCTGGACTCTCCTGGCCCTAGAGATGGCACAAACACAGAGGTCATTAGACAACTAGAACCCCTCCATTGCCATAACATGTCTCCCTTTCATCACTATGCATCAGATGCTTTGGCTTCACTCCATACATCATTAGGAACAATGCAGACAACCACAACCGTCTATGTTTTTTGGAGTTCCTCATGAATCCAAGGAGGAAGTGGACAGACAGAACTATAATTGGTCAGTCAAATCTGTATATCACAAGGAAAATAATGATTCAAAGGCTTCTTGCTTTACTGAAAAGGGAAATGAAACCCACAAAGGCTTATGGCAACTCTCATCCATATATCTCTCCATATAATAATTCTGTTTCGGTCATGGCTTCTCCTGAACATTCCACATGCTCCCAAATCAGTTGGCTCCCTGATCTGTCACTCAGAAGCTGTCCCTATCCACTGGTTGCATTGCCTGAGTCTCGCCTCCAATATTCTAAACAGTTTGCTGTTCCTCTCCCCCCCCATAGCCAGTCGGAACACAGAGGTCATTTGCATATGTGGCCTGATTGGCCTTTGCCTCTAACATTCTAAAAAG